TATCTCGTCTCACTCCCCATAGCTTCAAATGCCAAGCCTAACCTAGTTTCTCTATTTTATTTATGTTAACTTGTTATTAAAAGTCGATTCTAGTTAGTAATTAGACAGAGAACACTATGAGGAAAAAACTGTCCAGTACTTGCAATTCTCCCTCGCTGGTGCCAACTGCCAGGCAGGTTCCCTCTTTTGTCCAGGAGACAGAAGATATATAGTTACAAGCGAGACTTAAGTCTATATTTTCGATCCTATTGTGGTTCTCCCCACTCCAGATGTATACAGAAGATCCAAGGGCTATAGCAACATGATTTTGAAAACTCCAGTCTAGGATATTCAGATCTAAAAGGAAAGCACTTCAAATTAGGGCAATTATACAACCAAATAAAAACATTTTCAAATAACCTATTTATAGGTAGGGGAGAAAGATTAATACCTTTTCACGGTCAGTTGGAAAACAGAATCATGGATCCAGGCAGATCATTAGAAGTTCAAAAATGAAAACTGGAATAGAATCTGGTGTCAAGACTCACAGTCTAATAAGCAAGAACGCTTATCATTTATGCTCAAATATACTAATTTAGAAGCATTTAAAGAACTTGGCAGATTCATCTACCATTATTTGTACACATGGACTTCAGGTAACAGATCACTAAAAATTAAAAGCACATAATTCTTATGGAGACATTGTTGGACCTAGGATATCCATATGAGAGATGCCACCATCATTTCTAACCTAAAACACCGCCCAACTAGAATATATCTAGAAGACGTGGTGGTTCATTTATGAAACCTAGAAGTTCTCAGCAGAACTCTCTAGCTTATACTAGAGAATTATTCTCTTTGACTACTAAGAGAAACCATATTTGTATGACCACCTATTAAAATGTACCCTATCTTATTTCTTATTAGACAGAAATTTCTATCTTGACTGACACATATCAGTACAAAATGGTGAAGCACATCAGTTCCACTACAGTGGTTGAATACAACCCTCCCACTGATAACAATTATAAACTCCAGACAAAATATAAAAAACAAACACCCAAGGACCCTGGAAAGTTAGCAAAAACAGGTAAACTA